TCAAATGAAATAGATCAAAGGTCTAGGAAAGAGAAGAGGAGGAGGATGAAAGGAGGAGAGAGTGGAAAGGGGAAAGAGAAAAAAGAAGTCTACTTTACCTCATTTTGGATTTAGCTTCTGTTTGCTATCCTTTTGGTAAAACTTTACTGAAGAAAAGTAGCCCTCTCTAGGTTTTTTGGTGTGTAAGCTCCCTGCTGCTCTAAAATCCAGATGGATGTGCTATGTTCAGCCAGGGAGTGTTTGATGACAGCTGAGTACCTTAGGAAATGAATATTAACAGTTGTGGTGGTTTGAATAAAAATGCCCTCCTCCCTCACCTTGGGCCCATATATTTGAATGTTTGGTTTCCAGTTGGAAGACCATTTAGGAAGGATTAGGAGGTGTGACTTTGTTGGAGGAGGTATATCACTAGGGATGGACTTTGATTTCAACAGCCCACACCAGGATCAGTGTTGCCCTCTTTCTGCCTCCAACTTTTGTATTAGATATGAGCTCTTAGCTACTCTAGGATCATTCCTGCCTGCCTGTCACCATGCTCCTCACTATGATGTTCATAGACTAACCATTTGAAACTCTAACCATGCCTCCAACTAAGTGCTTTTTTCTATATAAGCTGCTTTGATAATAGTTACTCTTCACAGCAATAGAACAGTAACAAGGACAGAAACTCTGTGAGGGCCTGTGTGGAGTGTCAAGGCTTGACCACTGATTAATCATCTATTTCCCCTCAACCTCCTTGTTCACTGCTCACCATTTGATGCACTTTTCAAATTTTGGGCTGGGCAGTGGTGGCGCATGCCTTTAGTCCCAGCACTTGGGAGGCAGAGGCAGGTGGATTTCTGAGTTTGAGGCCAGCCTGGTCTACAGAGTGTACCAAGGCTACACAGAGAAACCCTGTCTCGAAAAAAACAAAAAAAACAAAACAAAACAAAAAAAAACAAAAACAAATCAAATTTTGGTTAGTTGGAATTTGCCCACTCATGTTCTTGCCTTGGTGACTGCTTAGGAGGCTGGTGTTAGAAACTTCAAACTCTTCACTCAGGAGTATCTCAACTTCTGTTCATTTCCATGACCCATAATTCCTACTTTAGACTGTGTGAGAGGCTAGTTTCATCCTGAAGAAATGTTGACTCTCAATATATTCCTCTGCTCGTGACAGGAGGTTTCTGGAGCTTTTGATAACTAATTGCTCTGCTCTGTATAAAATATATAGTTATATTTGAAACTAGATGAGGAAATCTTAGTTTGAGGAAGTGGGGCCACAGTGGACATAGCCTGTTCTCTTGATTCACTAAGACTGTCTTACCAACCAATAGTTCTATTAGCCCACAAAGGAAAATGTCTGGAATCTAATTTTACCATGACACATGTTCCTCATAGCCTCCTTTACAAATTAATTGGGTACTTTTAATTAAAAGTTAAAATCGGAACCTTACCAACATTCACTCAGTGAGGTGATCAAGGTCTGCATCAACAGGAAAAGTCATGTTCATAGCATATACTCTTGGTCTTGCTAGAATGACACACTGTACCTATATGCCTTTCTCCTGAAACCAACAACCTCAGTCTAATAATAGCAAAAATGCTATGTAAGTTCAACACAAGGACTTACATAAACTTCCACCTTTCCTTCTTTACTCTCTTTTTATCTAATGTTCTATCTAAATTTCTGATTTTTTAGTAAATATATCAGATAGGAAGTATTTTTGTATTTTTTCTAGTTGCTGGGTTTGAAAACAGTTCCTGAAATAAAATACATGTTCAATAAATATTTGCTGATGAATGAATATAAAAATTCTTATATTTTTCCATTCCATTTCTACATGGTGTTTTGTCATAGGATTACAACCAGACCCTTATCCATAGACATTAATATTATTTCCAATCTTTTTCTATTATTAAAAAGGTTTGCTTAGAGCATTTTTCTATGTAGACATTGGCATGTGTAGCTATGTCTTCAGGATCTCTTTCTAGAATTGAAATTGCTGACTCCAAGTATACATTTCTAGTTTTGAAAGATGTTTCAAACTGCTGTCCATCTTAGAAGTAGCATTAGTTTCTATTTTTGACATCAAAAAATGAGATATTTCATGACATGTCCAGCTGCACAGTACATTCATTTTAAAACTCGGATCGGTGTAATTTACTAAGCAATATTGGAATAAATTTTTGTATGTTTAAGAAGTGTTCACAGGGGAAGAAGAGATGGCTCAGCGATTGAGAGCATTCTTTCAGAGCATTTACATTCAATTATCAGCACCCATAGAGTGGCTTACAACCATCAGCAGCTCCAATTCCAGGACACCCAAGAGACTTTTCAGGCCTCCAAGTGTTCCTGGATCACATGATGCACAGATATACATGCACATAAACATCCATATACATAGACATCACTCACATTTCAGTTTTTTAAAGATTTATTTATTATGTACACAGTGTACATATGCCTCCATACCAAAAGAGGGCACCAGATCTCATTACAGATGGTTGCCAGCCACACAAGTGGTTGCTGGGAAGTGAACTCAGGTCCTCTGGAAGAGTAGTCAGTGCTGTCAACCTCTCAGTCATCTCTCTAGTCCCACATTTCCTTGTTTACTGTTAATATATTTTGGTCAATTTTCTATTGGGTTGTGTTCATAAGAAGATTATACATAATAAGAACATACTAAATTTAAATAGACAGATGAAACAGATCAAGGAGGCTAGAAATGAATCCAGACATGCAAGAAAGTTGGACATGCATTTGCATTAACAAAGAATGGATCAGGTGATTCTGCAGATGATAGAAACAACTGGGTCTATACTGAGAAAAGAATAATTTGGGTTTACTTCTCATGCTTTATGCCAAAACAATTGTGGTTGGGAAAAATATTTTAATGTGGAAAAATGAAATAATAGATTTAATAGGAAAAACATTAGGAAAATTGTTGTTTCTAGAATTGAAGTGTGAAAAACCTTTCCTAGACCCTACAAATAAGTCAAATTCCCTTGTTAGGGTGCTTATAGCATCAAGTAAATTTTTTAAAAAATCACAGGTGAAATCATGTAATATTATGGTATGTGACTCATGTCTGTCTACCCAGAAGACTATAAAAATAACCAATAATATAGAGTCCCCAGGCCATTTACTGGCTGACAGGTGCAGGAAAGTATATAAAATGACCTTCAGACTTGACAATGTTCAGATTGGAATACATATAGACTTAGATATGCATAGGATCCTAGATAAATATAGTATTTCCCACGGTATCTCACAACGTGTTTACATTCCTGAGAGTCTACAATGCTTCATGTCCTCAAGCACTATCTTATGATACTGTTTTGATCTAGGGTCTCATGTAGCCCAGATTTGTCAGGAGCTGGCAGAGATGAACTTGAACTCCTGATCTTCCTGTTTCTACCTACCAGCTGCTAGGATTAGAAGCTTGAGCAACACCACCCCAGTTTAATCAGTGCTAAAGACTGAACACACAGGGCCACCGAAATGCTAAGCTGATACTCTACCAACTGAGCTACAGCCTAGCAGAAGTCATCTTATGAACACATTTTCAAGTTGTATTAGTTTTCTATTGCTGCATATTAAGTAGACTCCACTTTTAGAGTTTTTGAGTGAGATCCATTTGCTTGCTTAGAGATGAAAGCTCAGTTTGAACAACAACTTGATTTCCACTGCAAGAGTGCATTCAATACTCTAGATTGCCAGAAATATGGTTAAGAATCAGTCATGTCTTCCTTAGAGATATTTCAAATTTAGCAGGTAAGTAGCTATTAATCTCAATGTTTGCATGGTCAATAGTCCACATTTTTTTTTTTTGCAGGATCACTACATTTGAGGCACCATTTTGTCCCATAGATTTCAAAAGGAAATTATGGAATATGACAATGAGTGGCTTAAAAAAACTGAAGTCAGATTAGCTTAAGTCCCAACACAAAACTATATAATTCAGAAAGTTATTTAACTCTTAGAGTTCTCTTGCTCAGCTGAAAAATATGGATAATAAATTGTGGTCTCATAAGCCTTACTGTGGGTAAGGAAGTGTTGATGTAGCACTTAGCGCAGTGCCTGACACTTTGTGTGTTGTGTGTGCCATAAATTTTTCATGTTTTACCAACATAAGGAACTAAGGGAATCTGATATGTAACCTCACCACAGAGAAACAGAAAAGCAGAGGAAATAATTGTGAGAACTATGGAAAGCTGGTGATGACTTTGACTTAAGTGTCTTGGATGATACTACAATGGATGCATCTTCTTGGGACATGCATCCTACAATGAGCTCTTTTTTTGTTGCTGGCCAAAGTTTTATCAAGAGTCGTGCCAAGAAGGGCTGGGGAAACAACTCAGTGGATAAAGCACTTGCCGTGTAGTTTGATGACTCAAGTTCAGAGACCGCAGCACCTACACATGAGTCTGGGAAATGTGGTAGCTGCCTGTAACCCCAGCTCTTGGGAGATTAACACAATGGGTCTCTGCGGGCAAACTGGTTATCGAGACTGCCCAAATTGGCAAGCTCTGTGTCTCATGAGAGAGATCCCACCTCAACAAATAAAGTGGTAAGTGTTTGAGAAAGAGAATTTGTGTCACTGGCTTCCACATGAAGCCACCCATACATATGCATCCATACTACACTTGTAAAAGAATGGTTATACAAGTAGTTTGTTGCTAAAAAAAATATGTGCCATGTTATGCTATACACTTATTTGACCTACACTCATGCTTATCTCAGACTAATGTAGTGGTGGTGGTCGGGCATCTTGATTAATTCCTTTTCAAAAGCTTCCTATCATCGTGTCTCAGAGTTTCATCTTGACCTTAACTTCTCCCTGAAAGCTAAACACATACAAGTATTCTAAAACTCATTTGATGCAACATATTAAATTATTCATAGCATTTCACAACTCAAAACTCTTAAGTATGGTGGAACACTGTTAAGTTTGCCAAGAAACACCCATGAAATATTGCTACTCTAATATGGTACTTCCACTTTTCGTTTTCCTTAGGAAAACATGTGCCCTCAGTCATGGATTCTGATGTCCTTTTGCCTGCTGGCCTCTGGAACCAGTGCAGTCTTCCTCAAAGTGAACTATTCAAGAAGCTATCCCTGTGATGAGATAAGGCAGAATGTCCTTGTCATTGCAGAATGCAATCATCGTCAACTGCATGAAGTTCCCCAAACTATAGGCAAATATGTGACAAAAGTAGACTTGTCCAACAATGCCATTACACAAATAACAAAGGAGTCCTTTCAAAAGCTGCAAAATCTCACAAAAATCAATCTGAACAACAATGCCAGACAACAGTACCCAAATGAAAATAAAAATGGTATGAATATTACAGAAGGGGCATTCCTCAGCCTAAGAAATTTAAGAGTGTTACTGCTGGAAGACAACCAGATATATACTATGCCTGCTGGGTTGCCTGAGTCTTTGAAAGAACTTAGCCTAATTCAAAACCATATATTTCAGGTAACTAAAAACAACACTTTGGGGCTTAGGAACTTGGAAAGACTCAGTTTGGGCTGGAACTGCTATTTTAAGTGTAATCAAACCTTTAAGGTGGAAGATGGGGCATTTAAAAATCTTATAAACTTGAAGGTACTCTCATTATCTTTCAATAACCTTTACTATGTACCTCCTAAACTACCAAGCTCTCTAAGGAAACTTTTTCTGAGTAATGCCAAGATCATGAGCATCACTCAGGATGACTTCAAAGGACTGGAACAATTAACATTACTAGATTTGAGTGGAAACTGCCCAAGGTGTTTCAATGCCCCATTTCCTTGCATTTCTTGCAGAAACTCATCCATCCACATACATCCTCTAGCTTTTCAAAGTCTCACCCAACTTCACTATCTAAACCTCTCCAGCACTTCCCTCCAGACAATTTTTTCTACCTGGTTTGACAAGCTGACAAATCTGAAGGAACTCCACCTTGAATTCAACTATTTAGTTCAAGAAATCGCCTCGGGAGCATTCTTAACAAAACCACCCCGTTTACAAATCCTTGATCTGTCCTTCAATTTTGAATATAAGAAATATTTACAATGTATTACTATTTCCCCAAACTTCTCTAAGCTTCATTCTCTCAAGAAGTTGCACTTAAAAGGCTATGTGTTCCGAGAACTTAAAAAGGAACATTTCGAGCACCTCCAGAACCTGCCAAACTTAACGACCATTGACTTGGGCATTAACTTTATTGAGAAAATTGATTTCAAAGCATTCCAGGATTTCCCCAAACTCAATGTTATTTACTTATCAGGAAATAGCATAGCATCCATAGTAGATGGTACAGACTACTCCTCTTGGCGACATCAGCTTCGGAAACCTCTCTCAACAGACTATGACGAGTTTGATCCACATGAGAATTTTTACCATAGTACCAAGCCTTTAATAAAGCCACAGTGTACTACTTATGGCAAGGCCTTGGATTTAAGTTTGAACAATATTTTCTTTATTGGTAAAAGTCAATTTGAAGGTTTTCAGGACATCGCCTGCTTGAATCTGTCCTTCAATGCCAATGGTCAAGTGTTCAATGGTACAGAATTCTCATCCATGCCCCACATTAAATATTTGGATTTAACCAACAACAGACTAGACTTTGATGATAACGACATGGCTTTCAGTGACCTTCATGATCTAGAAGTGCTGGACCTGAGCCACAACGCACACTATTTCAGTATAGCAGGGGTAACACACAGTCTAGGATTTATCAAGAACTTAATAAACCTCAAGGTGTTAAACCTGAGCTACAATGGCATTTACACTCTCACAAATGAAAGTGAGCTGCAAAGCAAATCCCTGAATGAATTAGTTTTCAGTGGAAATCGCCTTGACCATTTGTGGAACGCAAATGATGGCAAATACTGGCACATTTTTAAAAGTCTCCAGACTCTGACACGCCTGGACTTATCATACAATAACCTTCAACAAATCCCAAATGAAGCATTCATCAACTTGCCCCAGAGCCTCCAAGAGTTACATATCAATGGTAACAGATTACGTTTCTTTAATTGGACATTACTCCAGTATTTTCCTCACCTTCACTTGCTGGACTTAGCAGGAAACGAGTTGTATTTTCTAACCAATTGCCTATCTAAGTTTACACATTCCCTGAAAACACTGCTGCTGAGCCACAATCATTTCTCTCACCTACCCTCTGGTTTCCTCTCTGAAGCCAGGAATCTGGTGCACCTGGACCTAAGTTTCAACACAATAAAGATGATCAATAAATCCTCCCTGCAAACCAAGACAAAGACAAACTTGTCTGTTCTAGAGATACAAGGGAACCGTTTTGACTGCACATGTGACATAAGTGATTTTCGAAGCTGGCTAGATGAAAATCTGCATATCACAATTCCTAGATTGGTAGATGTCATTTGTTCCAATCCTGGGGATCAAAAATCAAAGAATATCATGAGTCTAGATCTCACGACTTGTGTGTCAGATACGTTTGCAGCTGTCCTGTTCTCCCTCACATTCCTTACCACCTCCATGGTTATATTGGCTGCTCTGGTTCACCATCTGTTTTACTGGGATGTTTGGTTTATCTATCACATGTGCTCCGCTAAGTTAAGAGGCTACAGGTCTTCATCCACATCCTGAACTTACTATGATGCTTACATTTCTTATGACACCAAAGATGCATCCGTTACTGACTGGGTAATCAATGAGCTGCGCTACCATCTTGAAGAGAGCGAAGACAAAAGTGTCCTCCTTTGCTTAGAGGAGAGGGATTGGGATCCAGGATTACCCATCATCGATAACCTCATGCAGAGCATAAAGCAGAGCAAGAAAACAATCTTTGTTTTAACCAAGAAATATGCCAAGAGCTGGAACTTTAAAACAGCTTTCTACTTGGCCTTGCAGAGGCTAATGGATGAGAACATGGATGTGATTATCTTCATCCTCCTGGAACCAGTGCTACAGTACTCACAATACCTGAGGCTTCGGCAGAGGATCTGTAAGAGCTCCATCCTCCAGTGGCCCAACAATCCCAAAGCAGAAAACTTGTTTTGGCAAAGTCTGAAAAATGTGGTCTTGACTGAAAATGATTCACGGTATGACAATTTGTACATTGATTCCATTAGACAATACTAATGCTGGTAAGTCTTGACTCCGCCATCATGAAAACACACAACTTCTCTTTACAACAAACTGTGGCAAATGAAAAGGCACATGGCTGCTTGAGGTGCTGAGAATAAGTGACAATTGGGTGGATGAGGGAGCTGGAAAAGTGTGTGACCTAGAAGACAGGGAGAGGGCTGAAAAATGCTCTTCTGGGCATGACAGCCACTGCAACTGCAATCATACAGCAGCTACGGTTGCCTACAGTGAGCCAGCACAAGACTGGGCCTCTTATCAGTCAATTATGGATGGGGGCCAATCCCATAAAACTATACTCTATCTTTCTTGGGGGGCAGGTCTCCTCTACACCATCTTTCTGTACTATTGGCTATTAGTGAGTCCTGAGAAAGAGGCAATCATTACCTTCAGTTGTGTACCAATTGATGAGCCCAGATTCAATAGATGGTTCAAAACCCATGGTTACACAGAAAGCCCTGGTAAAGTCAATGCACTAGAAGACAAAGCAAAAAGGCTGAACACGAGAAATAGTCTTGTAAGGAGGTGGGTAGGTTGGCAGCAGGAGAGAGGAGATAGGAAAGGTGGGCATGAGAGTAGCCAGAATGCATGTGTCTCTCTCAGAGACTTCACTCTGGGATCCACTCCCAAGCTCACCCCCATGCAGTTGTCATCAAGATTCAGCTTCTGCTGTGTGTTAGCCAAAGGCTGCTCTCAGCTCCCTGCTATGTGTATCCCTTTCCCAAGGCAGCTTGTTTCATCAAGGCCAGTGAGAGGGGACACAGAGGTTAACAACAAGAATCAGTCTTCTGGAAGTGACTCAGAAAATGATACCCTACCATTGCAGCTGTATTCTATTTGGTAAAAGTCAACAGCAAATCTTACCAGCTCCAGGCACCAAGTACCTCAGGTTCAGGGAAAGCTATTGAAAACCAGGGTAATAGATCTAGGGGCCCCTCAGCTAAGGGGAAAGAGTGTGACTGAGATAATTGTCTGAGTCAATTGTTATCCATTTCTTTGGACTGAAATTAAGAGACAGCTGCCATGTTGGTTGCAGATCATCAACACTAGGAAGGTCAAATCACATGGGCAATCTTAACAGGCAGCTTATTATACCTACTTTTCAATCCCTAAGAGCATTTGCCACTGTATCTAAAGATCTTGACATTAAGATGCTGGTGAAGTTGATATATCCATAGCTATGGGATTATACTACATTGTAATTGCATTAATCTTTCTTTTACAATGACATTTTAAAATAAGTTTTGACGTTATAATATAATTAATTACATTACTTCCTCCTCTTTCCTCTCTCCAAACCTTTTCATGTGCCCCACTCTGACTTTTACAAATGCTGCCTACAATATTTACTTTTTAAGCTTTTGATGTCACTTAAGCACTGAAAAGGATAGTTTTTAAAAGCCCTTTAATTCTTAATCATTTTAAAGGTATTCATTTAAATGGAAAGTTTTGGGGTATTTGTTATTTCCCATTGGTGTATACTTTCAAGTGAATGATTAAAATGTCTTCATTTTACATGACAAATGTGTGATGAATCTGAACTAGAAAAACAGAACTCTAATATAAAAGTTGTCATTTGCACTGACTAGTTTTGAGATCTCTTTTATATTGCTATTATTTTACACCCCAACATTTTCCCCTTCTTCCTCTCCTCCCCATTCCTCCATCCACCTCCTCTTTGCCCCTCCCCATTCACTCCTCCTTCATTTCTCCTCAGAAAAGGGCAGAGCTCCCAAGCATATCAACCAAACACGGCATATCAGGTTGCAGTAAGACTACGCACTTTGTGCCTTAAACCTCCCTTTGTATTAGGGCTGGATGAGACAACCCAGTAGAAGGAAAGGGTCCCAAATGCAGGCTAAAGAGTCAAATACAGCCCCTGTTCCCACTATTAGGAGTCCCACATGAAGACCAAGCTACACCACCATAACATATATGCAGAGGATCTTGGTCATTCCCATGCAGACTCCCTGGTTAGTCTCTGTGAGCCCCTCTGAGGCCAGGTTAGTTGACTCTGAGTTTTCTTCTGATGTCTTTGACCCCTCCAGCTCTACAATTTTTCCTCCCTTTCTTTTGCAGGATTTAACATTTTATTTGACCACTGTATTAATTTCTCTTATTGTATATTCTACACCTGAGATTCTCTCTTCCATCTCTTGTATTCTGTTGGTGATGCTTGAGTCTATAGTTCCTGTTCACTTCACTTTCCATCTCCAGGATTCTTTTAGTTTGTATTTTCTGTATTTCCTCTTTTTATTTCTACTTTCGGGTCTTGACGATTTTCATTCATTTCCTTCACTTGTTTGTGTCTTCCTGGGTTTCTTTAAGAAATTCGTTCACTTCCTCTGCAATTATTTCTATCATCTTCATAATATTGGATTTAAGGTAATTTTTTTCTGCTTCAGCTGTGTTGGAATATCCAAGGCTTGCTGAGGTAGGGTATCTAGGCTCTAGTGGTGCCATATTGCCCAGGGTATTTTTGGTTGTATCCTTACACTGTCCTATAGTCATGTGAGCCTGTGGTTCTTATAGGTTTACTTGCCAATTTCTGAGTTTACCTTTGTTGGGTGGATTGTTTTTGGATGTTTTTCCCCTTGCTTTCTGCTTCTTCTCTGATCTTCTGGCCTGAGTGCCCTAACTTGCAAGTCTTTAGATACAATACTGTGTCTCTGTTGGAGTTTTGATAGCTTGTGTGACTTCCGGGGTTTTATACTGCCTCTGGGGTTCTGGCATTCTGGGAAATGGTGTGGCCTCTAGGGTTCTGGATACAGGGATGGCCTCTGGGGTTCCAGGTGCCTGGGGTTCCTGAGGCTCCTAATACTGCCATGGCTTCCCGTAGAGCTGGAATCTTCTTCTGGAGTTGTAGGCTGAGTTATGTAGCCCAGGAGAGGTGGTGCATTTGGGTATTACTGGGCGATGTTTAAGAGTATTAGTGGGTGGTCAGTGGTGTCTTACCTTAGGTTCTTAGTACCCGCATGGTCTCAGGTAGAAAGGGAGTCTTCTGATGAGGTTGTGCACTGGGATATGGAGCTTAGGGGAAGGAGTCCTGTTTGGAACTAGGGTTTCTAGTACCAGCGTGGCCTCTGGTAGATCAGGAATCTTCTGTTGAGACTTCTGTTTTGAAAAATCTTCTGGAAAGATCAAAAGAGAAACAGTTTTTATATTAAGATAATTAGTAATAGAATAATTTCATCTTATTTCAGTCTCATAAGAACAAAATCCAAGTGTCTATTGGTATCTTTTATTCGTTCTCCCAAACAAAACAAGTTTGACACTACTCACTACATCTTCTAGCCTCTTTTTGATCAATCTATAGCATCCATTGTCCTGTATCAATGTGAAGCATCTCATGAAATTTATATAATAACAATAGGAGATTATTCGAATATAAAAACATAAAGCCCAAGAAGATAGCTCTTATCACCCAAGGATTGATAAAGTAGGAAGAGGGCTTAATGGCCAGCCAGCCTACCACAATCAGGGGAGTCCTAGGTCTCAGTGAGAGGCCCTAGTTCAAAATATCAAAGTTGTTTCCACATATTCTCACATACATGTGTACATATGTACACACACACACATACACACACACACACACACACACACACCAGAGCAAGGGAGAGAGGGAGGGAGGGAGGGAGGGAGGGAGGGAGAGAGAGAGAGAGAGAGAGAGAGAGAGAGAGAGAGAGAAATCCCTTTAAATATACAGAAAAAGCTTCAAAGCACCATCTTTCCTTAAGTACAGTTTATATTATCTTGATAAATACAACTTTAGTTTACCATGTAGGATGAGATATTTTAAAATATGCATTCCTAAGGACTTTATCAAAATAGTATCTATTTAATATGGACAATTTCACTCAGAAGGGGAAACAAAATAGTTATTGGGAGTGGATGGGAGGAGGGAACTGGTTGAGAGGGGGGTGAGGAGGGGAACAGGATTGGGATCAGGTGTGGGGAGAGTGGATGGGGAGGGGGCTGGGAGTGAAAATGGAAATTGATGGGGGCACACCTCTGGGACTAGCTGGAGACCCAGCATAAGGAGGGTTCTGGGGTATCTATGGGTGTGACCCTAGCTGAGACTATTACCAGCAGGGGATATAGAGGCTTAAGTGGCCAGATGGGGTTGGGCTTTCAACAGATGAAATTAAGGTGACACAGCAGTCAGTCTATAGCATACCTATTGTCACAACATTAACTTCATGTATGATAAAGGGCTTTCCTTATAGTCCCTAATAGTCTTGGTAAAATAAAATAAAATAAGTAAACATCATGTCAGTAGTGTTACAGTCATAGATTGAATGGGAAATGCCCCCTGTGTGTAAAGGCCGTTTCTTTTGTAACGGCCGGTTCTGCTACTTTGTAATGGCCCGTTCTGCTGCTCCGGTCCGCAGTTCAGGGTCTAGCAAGAGAGAGAGTGGGGACCGAGGAAGGGCAAAAGAGAGGCGAGAGACGCAAAAGATCAATACAGGACAGAGTCTGGTCGAGTCTCTTCAAGTCTCTTCTTTATTCTCCTCTCTTCTTCTATATTCTCCTCACACCCATAGAAAGGAAATCCTGGGTATTTATACCCTTTACCATGTGACTTGCCCTCGTGGACAAGCTCAACTGAAGCCACTATGTCACATGCCTTGTAGCCATGGATACCAGGAACACCTTGCAGCTGGGGGCACTAAACAGTGTAAGAAGATGTTTATCAGAGTGCGCTCAGCTATTGCAGGCTGTTGAAAACAGGTCTCTTGTCAGGGTATATGGCTCGAGATGGCTGTAATGATGATAGCCGCTTTCGGCTAGGAGTTGGTTCCCAAAACCCGTGGACCCATGTGGTTAAACAGTTGCTCTTCAGCTGATGGCAATGTCTTGGGAAGGAGTAGAACCTTCTGGATGTGAAGCCTATATAATAAATGTAGAACCATGGAGGTAGGGCTTATAGTCTGGCCCAGTTCTCTGCTTCCTGGCTGCTAACATGATATAACTAGATGTCTGATGCTCCAGCTGCCAGATCATCCCCACTGCTACCACAAACACAATCTTTTGTCACCAAGATAGACTACCATTGCCCCCGACTATGAGCCAACATAAATCTTTGTTCTCTTAAGTTATTTCTTGTTAGGCTTTTGCTCACAGAGATGAGACATATAACCAATACAGTAAGTCAGGAATGATCTCTATGAAGCATATGCTCTTTGAAAGCAGTCTGTTGACAAAGTCAAGAGTTAATGGACGTTACAAGTGATTTTACTTTCTCCTTAGTAAACGTACTTATAAATTGAAGAGAATGAATGCAATGCATAGTAAAAATGTTTCTGAACCCAGTTGACTGTCACCTCATTCAAGTTTCTGCTATGAGAAACTCAGATTTGAGATTTATTGATGAGGAACTTGCCATTACTCTGATTGTTACTGTTAATTTAAAAGCATGCAGTACTTATACGTACTTTTAAATTTTTCAAAAGTTACACAGGGTTGAAGAATGAATGATAAATCTTTACATGGCCCATTTTTGGCTTCCTAAGAGATCTCTCTATATTACAACAAAGTATAAAGTTTCAGTTGCTATAACACAGAGATCCAATAATATAGAGGTTTACTCCTCTGTACCAATATATTGGTTACCTTTCTCATTGCTGTAACAAAGTACCTGACAGAAACATCTTAAAGAAGGAAGAATTCATTTTGGGTAACAATGTAAGGATATAGTCCATTGTGGCTAAGAAGACATGGTAGAAGGAGCTTGGAGTAGTTTGTTATATTGTGTCTGTAGTCAGGAAGCAGAAAGCAATGAATGATGACATTCAGCTCATTCTCTTTTTAATTCAGTCTAGAATCTCAGGCCAGGGTATGATGTCATACAGTTAAGATGGCCCTTCCCACCTCAACTAACCTAATCTAGATAATCCCCTATAGGCAAAACCCAGAAGCTAACCTAATTCAGAAACTCTTTTACAGGCATGCCAAGGAATCTTACTTCTAGCCAATTTTAGATTCTGTCAAGTAGACAATCGACATTAAACCATCATACCCAGCACTGATTGACCCAATAAAGATAGTTGAAGTTAACAGCCAGTCCCTACATGGATGCTCCTTGGTGTTTGTTCTTGCTATTCTGCTGTCACCTAAGGAAATAGCATTGTCTGCATGGCCCATGGTGACTTACCACTACAACTAGATTCAATTCAAAATGGTCCACACATTGTGGCAAGGGGCCAAACATTTTTGAGAAAAGACTACAAAACTAGAGTCATAATGTCCAGAGTCACCAGTGGCATGCTGTCTTTGCTCCCTTCCATTGGTGAAGACTTAATTAACTTAACTACTATGTCTGCTAGGAAATATACCAAGTAACGTCATAAAGATGGAAGAAAAGGAACACAGATTTAGTATACTGCTAGGAGTGTCTGCCGCAACTTCTAGTTTTCAGTGCATACCCAAGCATTTATTGCTTCTTCAACCATAAAGGAAAAATCAAGAATGTTGCTCCTGATGTTGTGCACTGGTCTTGGAATATTTCTCAAAAGTTTCTAAAATGTATTTCCTTTCATTTTATGTGTATGAGTGTTTTGCTGGCATGTGTGTATGTGTGTGTAT